CAGGGAATCAGTCCCAAAGCTGCACGGCTAACGGGGAGGATCCTGGACTGGCTGATGGACTCGGGGAAATTGCCGATGTACAGTCTGGCCAGGAGGCTGGAGCTGGAGTTCGCAGTCTGATACCCTTTCATTCGAAGGCCAAGAGGCCTTCCCACTTTGTGTTTGCAGGATCGCACACTGATCGTTTTCTTGATTGTCGATATGGGTTTTTCACCCGGCCCACGGGCGCGGTTTTCCTGTATAGTAAGTTGTTGAAGGTCCGGCACGCCCTAGGGCACAGCGGTGTAGGAATAATAATCTTATTGTTCCTACACCGCTATGCCTATGGCGTTAGGCGTGCCGGTCCGTCTGATAATCATTGTACAGGAAAACCGTATTGGTTGCTCAACCGGTTGAGAAACCCATACCACACTCTCTGGTCGGCGCTTTGGATTTCCACATACTACGGGTGAAAGGAGGCAGCCCCAGGCTATACTTCCTGCATTCCCACATCCAGGTCGCCAGCCGAAGCCAGCGCCCCAGTGGCCGTAGCTCCCGGGGCTGTGACCTCGGGAGCTGCAGGCTACACCGTTCTATCCCTCACCGCGAAGGTCAGCTTTCCCTGCGTCAGACTCCTGGCAGCTTGCTCCTGCGTAACGATAAAGGCGGGGGGTCGTCCCCATTTCCGTTTCCTTATGACCTCCTGGAATATCTTCCTCCTCTGGGGGAGGGTTACCTCGTAAGGTAACGTTCCGTATTCTCGGTAGCGGTTGTTGTTCCTCCTATTGTCGTTATTGTCTTTGGGCAAGCTCGAAAGTCCTTGGCCGGAAATGGTATGCCTCCCTCGCTGTACCCCGGGCTTTGACTGCATCCGGGCACCACCGTGCCTAGACCGGGTGCCTCCCTGTGCAATTCGAACAGCGTAATGAGATCTCGTTGGTATAGGTAGGGCACTGGGCCTCCCCTGCCCTCCCGCCCTCCCGCCCTCCCTATAAGCTGCTGAGCTACACCGGGGGCATAGCGATGACTTCTTGCAGAACCGCTGGGTTTGTCCCTACCCCCAACATCGGTAGCATTAGGTTGCCTAGAGAGCAGCCTAGTACGGCTCCCAGTCCAGAATCTAGGTACGCCAAACCACCCCATGCTCGCAGGCCTTCCTCGCCTCTTCCTGGCTAGTCAGAGTGACTAGTGCCGTTGCTCTCGTCACTCCCGCGATTGTCGGGATCCGGAACTTGACCTTATCGACCGTTGTCAGGCCTACCTGTTTGCCGAAGTCCTCCTTAGTAATATCCTTCAGCTCTCTCTTCAACATTCCTTTTATAAGGACCGTAAATGTCCTCTTTGCTTCCATTGCCGATTCACCAAAAGCCGCTCTAATTCACCTTCCATTTGCTGAGTGCTAGTTCTTCGTTTCAGTGTCATGAAAGGTAACGATAATGTCACCGCTAGGAAGCTTCTACGCCGCAATTGCTCCTCTCCTTGTCGACACCCTGTTGACTATCTAGACAATCTCTTGCGGAGACCGCCACGTTAGTGCTAGGACCGCCGACCCTCTCACCAAGATCTCCCTGTTCAATCGCCCTGGGATCTTCTTCATAGGGAGTTCCGTCTCTCCTGTAGCGACGGCGGCCCAGGACCGCGCCCGAGCTGTTGTTGCTGCCGGAGCTGCCGGAACCCCTCCTTTCTCTTGGACCTCCCTTCGCACTTCCTGGACCTCCTTGCGGACTTCCTCCACAGCCCTCGCCACCTTCTCCTCGACTACCTTTGCTACAGCCTCTGAGACAATCTTCCGAAGCGCTGCCGGGTCGACTCGGTTATTGTCGTTCTTCTCCCTCTCCTTTTCTACCTTCTGACGCAACTGTTGTAGCTGCGTTATAAATGCGTCAGCCACCGCGTAAGCAATGGCCTGTTTCTCCTTCAGGGCGAGCTGCATGATCATCGCCGTGAGAGTATCGTCTTATTCATCGTATATGGGGTTTAGACCATTGCCAAACTCGCCGCCGTCTTCATCGTCGTCTGTCTCGTCGCCGTCCATCTCGTCGTCGTCGTCGGCCAGTCTGGTCTGATTGGTTGGCTTCCTCCAGGGGGTGGGGCAGGCCCCGCCCGCGCAGGATTTTGCACCTCCGGCTACGGTCTTACGCGCCATTCCGGGAGCCATCGCAGCTAAGCGCAACGGAAAAACCACGGTTGGGGAATAAAGCTTTTCAAGCACGATCAAATTATGGTGTTTTCAGGAGTTTTGCTGCTGTATTGCTCGCTGGTCCACCATATTATATGGGCCATAGATATTCAACGCCCTATACAGGGAAGCGATATAAAGGATGAAGAGGGTTGGTGATAGTGGGGAGCCCTGTGGGACCCTAGCCTTAACTGAATATAGGCTTTGTAGCTTGGCCGTCGAAGTAGAACGTAGCCGTCCTATCTTCAAGCCAGGCCTTAGTCTACCGCACTAGCCATCGAGGGAAGCCAGACCTAGAGGGTGTCTAGTAGCCTTGTATAGTTGACTGTATTGAAGGTTCTAGATATATCTTGCTGTAGTAGTGAGGTGATTGCTCCCTATCTCTAAGGCTCGTGGATCTGAGTAATCACTAGCCATATAGCTAGTTTAGTAGATCGGCTAGCCCTATTACCTATCTACTCGTTAGGTAATAGGCCGTTTAATCCGCAGCCTCAACTACCCTCCTAGCCGTTATAGCCACCAGTACCCTCCCTAAGGTAGATAGGAGGGCTATAGGCCTATAGCCGTTGGCAGTTCTATATATAGCCGTGAATTTCCCTTGCTTCGTTAGAACCACTGTTTTAGCCCTCTTGAATCTTAGGGGATACCACTATAGTTCTATGCACCTAGTGTAGAGCACTGCTTGGATCTGGAATAGTAGTCTTCCACAGGCCTTTCTTTATCAGGCCTGTAGGTATAAGGTCTTCCCCTGGAGCCTTCTATGAATGAGTCTCTAAGAGGGCTTTAAACTATATCTCTAATAGTACCCTCTTTCCAGACCTTGAACTATAGTTGGTCGAAGGCTTAGTCGAAGGCAGTATCAAGGATATTGCTAAGGTTGGTTGGTAGGTTTGGGAAGAACCTAGCTGCAAGGGCCTTGGCCTTCTGGCTATAGGGTGTAAGATCTGGTTCGCCTAGGCCTTTATAGAGTGGTGGCAGTTTCGGTGGATCCGTAGGCAGGAAGCTCTTTATATAGGCTCATCTTTCTAACTTTTATTGAAGGCTAGTATCTGCCGTAGCCTTTTATAGAGTAGACCTCTAACTCCTTGTCCTGGCTAGCCGTATGTATAGTCGCTGACTATATATGGAGGCTCTAGTTGAGCCTTCGTTTGAGAGTCCCTGGGTGCCTGCTTATACGCCCTTTCGGCCTCTCTAGCCTTCTAAGTAGCTTATTGGACCTCCTAGGTCCACTAGTGAGCTTAGAACGCCCTGTTTGGCTTCCGTAGGGGGGTACTAGCCTTCACAATTTTCTGAAGTTGGCCTACTAGCCAAGCAAAAGCCGGTAATAGGCCCTTTGTCGTCATCGTCCTAGCTAGTAGGCCCTGTGGGCCTTGGTTGGCAAGGCGTATAGCCCTTGGCAGAAGGGTTGCCTCGGCTTCTACCCTCCTTCTACCGTGGGGGGCCAGAAGTATCCGAGCACCCCGCATTTCCCGACCTCCCACATTTTACATCGTCCCTCCTTATCCAACAATAACTTCACACAACCATATCACAGCGCAAAACTGATAGTATCTGAGTCATGGCCAAGTGCAGGGCTTTAATATTTTGTGTACCAGCACCCTAGCCTTCTTCACGGCGGCCAAGCGGCGTGGCATGCCGTCGATCAGCTTGTCAATCCAATCCTGTTCTACTGCCCACCATGCCGTCCGCAAACACTCGGTAAAGTACTTGATATCCAGCGTGTTCTTCTTTAATTCCCAGAGATCAGGGAACAACTTCCTTAGCTTCCGCTTAAGAGCAGCCCAGACGTGCTCAATCGGGTTTAAATCGGGACTGTGTGCAGGCCATTCGATCCATGAGATTCCCCGTGATTGGAGCCACTCCTCGGTCGACTTACAGACGTGAATCTTTGCGTTATCTTGCTGGAAATGCCGTGTTTCGTCGTAGTGAGGAATGAGACCTTCTTGGAGAGCCTTTTGATACGACCTAGCTGTATACCCCTTCCGAGGAGCATCGTCGTCACGGGCCATAACGATGAGCTCGCTCCGCCCCCCCTTGAAGATCATTCCCCAGACCATGATAGTGATATTCGCCTTCACATGGTTTTGAAGGTTTACGAAACGCTTATCGAACTTCTCAGAAGGGAAACGGAACACCCAGGAGGTCGGGTTGGAGGTGCTATTCTGGCAAGAACACTCGTCTGAGAACATAGTCTGGAACACTTAGCGGGTAAGAAATCCAGGTCAATTTTAGAACGACAAACCTGCAAGAGTTCCTCAATATTTTCAAGCCAATCGCATGCGAAATTATACCTATCCCTTGCTACCTCCTTGCAAAGGGGTATCCGCTTCATTGCCTTCCACTTGCGCATGTTTGTTGGCGCGGAGGCATCGTTTGATCGTAGAATAGGAGACGACCTTACCTGTAGCGTTCACGAGCGCCTTTTTAGCGAGAGTTCGATTCCGTTTGACAAGCAATATTATATACCGCTTTTCCTTTCGAGTGAGCGCCTGGGGCCGGCCTTTGCGAGGCTTGGATTCGAAGGTGTGGTTTTTGTTCCAGTGTTCAATGGCGTAGTGTACCGTGGACGGAGAGACGCGAAACAAGCCCGCGACGAACCGCTCGCTTTTCCCAGCTGCCACCAGCGTGCACATTGCGGCACGAATCCCGGGCGATAACTCCTGGTTCCGGCTGCGGCTTGCTGTCAGCTGGCCCGCAAAATCTTCTAAATTGAGCTTCATTTGGCGGAGTTGTGGAAGGTTGAAGAAACCGTGCTGGTCGCGACGCGCTGAGTTCGCGTTTAATTGAGGTGGGGTGCTCGGATACTTTTGGCCCCCCACTGTATCCATCTTAACCCAGCACTAGCCTTGAGGTGCTGGGGCTTCTTTCTAGGGTATTTGGTCGCCTTCGAGGACCTGTAGGTAGTGGTCTGACTTCACTCGCTCCTGGACGCCGGAGTAGGTTGTTCGTGGGCCTTCAGAGATATACAGATGGTCAATGGTTAAGGATCTACCTCTCTAGGTTCCCTATAGTTCCCTGGTAATAGTGCCCTAGGGGGTCCGCAGATCGAGGCCCCACTGTAGAGCTAGCTGTTGCAGGTCCTCAGCTTGTGGTTCTTCTCGGCTATAGTAGTCCTATAGTGGGTGGTGGAGGTTGAACTCTCCCGCAAGAACAGCAGGTAGGCTGGGTTTAGGCCTTCCAAGGAGGGCCATTGTGATCTAGCGGCTATATGCCAATCTTACCTGGTTCGACCTTCGTAGTATATTATAAGTTGTCAATATACCCTTAGCATTAATCGATTATCTAGGGAATTAGTGTTAGTTGTCTACACCGGTCTATCCTCCTAATTGGCCAATAGTTAAAGTCGAGTTTCATCTAAGAGTAATATCGATAACGTGATCCACCATTGGCTCGGACACCCCATTGACTCGGACACCCCATTGACTCGGACACATTCTCCCCCACCATAACCAGCCAACGTCAACACGCGTTTTCTCTACCACAACAATGTCCGACAGCTTCCCAGAAAACCGAGTTCTTCTCGCGATCAATGCGATTCGATCAACACCGCGCTTGAGTATCCGACGCGCCGCAGAGATATACAATGTCCCCAAGTCGACAATTGGAGATAGAATGAAGGGAAAGATTGCGAAGTCCGACAGCTATCACGGCCGTTCGAATTTGACGAAGATCGAAGAGGAGGCCATTGTTCAATACATACTCGACCGAGATTCGCGAGGGTTTTCGCCCCGGATTGTCGACGTGGGTGATATCGCCAATCTCCTGCTTCGGAAACGCGGTGCGCGACACGTTGGAAAGAACTGGCCAAACCGCTTCATTGTACGACGTCCAGAGCTAAAGACGCGTTTTAATCGCGTCTATGACTATCAGAGAGGCCTCTGCGAAGACCCTGCAATTATCGAACCATGGTTCCGACTGGTCGCCAATATGCGAGCGAAATATGGTATCCTCGAT